GATCACCCTCCTAGAGCTGCACAGGACTCCCGGTACTCCCATAAGAAACTCTGCTTTTGTAAACCATCAGGCTAATTTCTTTTATTCCAAACACATTTCTTTTCTAATCTGAACAATGGTTTCAGTGTCTTCCCAATAATTTCAGGGAAACCAGAAGCACAGTTCATTTACTTTTGTTATTTGTTGCTAAAGTTTCTAAGCTTGATCTGCTAGGCAGTGTTAAACCTATTTGGAGCTTGAGTCTCAAGTGAACTGTCAGCTATTCTTTGCACAAACAAACTTTTCAATTTTATTGATTTCAAACTTTAAACACACACACACACACACACACACACATACACACACACAACCAGCTATAGGGATTAGGTTCATTAGAAGACTAGGCCTATGAGGCAATATATATTACACAGTGACTAAGTCACCTCTTGCATGTCATTGAATTTAAGGGTGGAAAGTATGTCTCACCCACTTTTGAACATGTAGGATATGACTGGCATGTGATGGTCCTGTGAATACACTCTCTTCAGTGACTGATAGTACTCTATATTCACATACTGCTTTCAGTTTGTTTCTCATCCAAAATCTGCCAGCATATTTTAATTGGCTTTCAACTGTTTTGCCTGAGTCTCTCTTTTAAACTGCAAAATGATAACTAAGACCACCTTTGTTAAAGAATGCATGAAAATATGACATAGATGTTGAAAAGACAGTCAAGAATATAATTCACATTGCATCAGGAATATCAAAAGCAATAGCTGTTTCTTTCAAAGTAGAAAAACCAATTACAACATCAAAAACTCCTGCTTTTTTTTTCTTTAAAGAAAAAGTGATGTACTAGATAAGCAGAGGTCTCATAGCAAAGTCACTTTTTTATACATAAAACTTCAAATTTAGCTTAACTCTAGGTCTGCTAATTTTCTTTTTGTATACCACCTAAAAAGTCACTCTAGATAAAATCTGCATCCTTAGCCTGTGTGCCAAGTAATTTAAAAGACTTTCCTAAGGAAAACATAATGCCTCTTTTTATAGGGAGTCATTCAGTAGTAAGATACATGCACAGTTCATCCCTGAGCGTTTGCTATAAGTTCAAAGAACTGAGAACTTGGATTTTCCCATTGAAATTCAGATGACATATAAAGAAGGGATATTGCTTTTAAATTTTATCAATTCCTGTATGTCAATTTTGGATTAGGTATAAAAATGTAATGATAGTTTCAAAGGCCAAATTTTCCTGAGCCAAATACTGATCTGAGGGTTGAGGAAGTGACTGCTATACCAATATTGATGTACTTCTCAAATGTCCTGAAAAATACATCCCATCATTCAGTGCAGTTTAAAGGTCATATCTTCCTCCAACAATTTTGGTTGGTCTTTACAAAACATGCCTCAGTAAAACATTATTATAATATAGTATTTTGCATTTCGCTGGAGCTTAGAGCATATTAGTTGGAAGAATAGATAGATACATTCTTTTAATTTCTTTTTAGGTAGAAGATTTTAACATGTTTTAATGTTATCATGAGCTACATTAAAACAGAGACTAAGGAAGGTAATAGATTGGGCTTCTCAGCATAACTAGCCTGGGAGATGAGATTTCATATCTGGCTTCTTTATAAAAGTGGAAAAGTAAGATGTAGAACAGAAAATAGAACCAGAAGTTTTGAACCATTCTCACGAATTACTAGTTACATTTTAAGAAACATCTGGTTGGAGAGGTTACTTCATAGTGGAGAAGTAAATAAACTCTGAAACAAATCACAATGTCTTCATGAAGAGCCCACAGTTGCCTAATGGGTCTGAAATGTGGACACAGAGCACTAAAGTAACTTGGGTAGAAATGTAACAGAAAATGAGTTTTCGTCACTGTGAAGTTTCCATATGTAAGTTCAAATATTCATGGGATAATGTCACACATTTGTTACGAACTGAGTAAAGTAAGCTTGAGAAGAACCTGGCCCAGAAATAGCTTATCATTTTGCTTGTCCAGAGATCATATTTCCATTTTTTTTGCTAAGATAACAGTGTATAATTCTTAACTTTTCAGGGAGAAATATTGAGGTGTGTGTGTGTGTGTGTATGTGTGTATGTGTGTGTGTTTGTGCCCACATGTGTGTACATTTATGCAAGGGGAGATTATAATAAGGGACCAAATTATTCTTTCAGGGAGCTTCTCTAACCAAATGCAATTTAAGCTTGGATCTAAGATGACCAGAAGCTAATTAGGCAACGTGTAGAAAAGCCTTTCCATTCAAGTGAGAAGCACATGGGAGGGACTTAGAGAGCTAGAAAGGGAACATGTTTTGTGAATAAAATGTACGTCTGTGTGAATAGTGTGGCCAGCAAAAAGAAGAAGGAAATGACTGTGCTCCAGAGGCAAGCAAATGCTAGACCATGCAAAGCTCAACTTTGCATTTTATCCTTAATGCAAAAGGAGAGAGAGAGAGAGGTTTGATCTGTTTTACTTTAGCAGATCACTTTAGCCGCATTCGCAACAAGGTATGAGGCAGACAGTGGGTGTGGTGAGAACAATGACGACTACTGTAGGGCGGGAGAAGATGGACTTTGATTCAGTGGTAGACATAGAAGTAGAGGGAAGCAAGTAGACCTCTGTTATTTTGTGGATAGACTCCATAGGACTTAAAGGTGGACTCCATGATGGAGGTGAGGAGACCAATGCTCTAAATATGCTCAGTATTTGACTTGAGCCACAGGGCCAATGTTTATGCCACTCATTGACCTAGAGATTGAGAAGGAGGAGCAAGTGGGTTTACATCAATACTTTGGTATCAGTATGTAGCTGAAAAATCCTCTAGAATGGGTGTATATATAGATATGGGGATAATTTTCACCTAGAGAGACAAAAGAGAAGATAGAGGCCAAATGAAAGAAGGGGGAAAGGGACACCATGAGAATCAGAAGAAAGTAAAAGTCCCAAAGTCCTGGGAAGGTAGGTGTGGCCTGGGGATGGGTGCAAATCAAAATTGCTTAGGGCATGTGATTTGAAAAGCACATGCTGAACTAACCACAATGCTTTGATTTAAAAAACAAAGAAATATTTTCTTGTCTTCATAAGTAATTATAGAGTATAGGTAAGAAATAAATCTGATGGGTTCATGTCAATGGTTAGAGACTGACAGCTCTTTATTGGTAATTTCTTAAAGGAGGGATAAATTAAGATCCCCAGTGGAAGGGATAGTAATCAATGTAAAACCCATGTCCATAAGACAAACAACAAGAACAGTAAGAATAACACCGCCAACAAAACAAAAGAAAGCAAAACCAAAAACCCTAACAGGGAAGCAGAAAAATGAAGATGAGAAAAAGACACAGGTAAACGATGAAGAGATTTTCTTGTGAGCAAAGATGTCTCTGACATTATGCCTGCATTGCTGCAGGTATATGTTCTGTCAGGTCATCTGCCCCCTGGGCTTGAACCCCGAATCTGTCACTTAGTGGATGATCTGGCACAAACCAGGTAATTTCTGAAATCTTTTTTTCCTCACTTAGAAAAGCAAAATGTTGATCACATCTATTTCATAATTTGATTCAGAATTGGAGGAAATAATTCATAAGAAGAACTTTAGCACAATGCCTGGCTAAAGGAGAGTTCAGTGTTCATAGCTGCCCACATGTAGCTGACCATAGGGAAGTCGTAGCTCCAGTCTAATTGGCTTCTTTTCTACCTATGGCAGTGAAACCTCAGCTTTCTAGTTTCTAAATTGCATAGGTCACTATACCAATAAATAGATATTTTGGGAATTGTTAAAAAGGTAGAATTTAGTTAACCTTTATAAATTACTCTGAAGTGTTGGTAAACCTAAATTAGTACAAATACATGAAATTTGTACAGCTGAAGGGACAGTCAAAATCTTATTCATTTCTAGAAATTCTAGCTAGATCTAAAGTTTGCTATTTAATTCTCTGAGAGAGACCACTATTGACTGTTAAGTGGATTACTTAAAACATGAAAAAATAAAGATATTTTTAAATTGAAGATCCTTTTAATTATTTTCACTTTGAATCATTCTAAAATCTGTATTTTTCAGCCCTGACAACATTATGAAGACACCGATTCTGAAACCATAATTAAATAAGCAGCTACTTTGCATAGGCGTCTTCCCACCAGCCTTTCCTCTAGACTGCACTGCAAGTCTCTCCCTCTAGACTGCACTGCAAGCCTCACAGGGAACACTAAATTGTATGTTTCCTACATTGCTTTCTCTGTGATTCTGTCTACTATGGGACAATAGGATTTCCATCCTCAAACATATGTCTTCAGGATATTTATATATAGTTGTTTCCAATCTTTAGACTTAGAAGAATTTGCTTACAAAGTTGTTATGGAAAAATTGAGAACAGTCTAAGGTCAAATTTAAACTGCATATTGATTGGCAAGATCACACTCTGGTAAATCCCTTAACCTTCCTTGACTTTTGTATCTTTAAATACATAGAGATGAATTAAATAAGACAACATATATAAAAACGTAACAAGTAGCCAAGTGTAAATATGATATATGTTCACTGTGGTTAGATAGAAGCAATTAATTCTATAGTCTTAGGAAAGTAGTTAATTCCCCAGCGAGCCAGTTATATGATGACTTTAATTTAATATTCTAATTAACATGTTAAGTGACAGTAATAATATGTACATATTTAGGTCATTGACTCTGAGGCATAGTGAACATTTCTTAAGTATTAAAATACTCAGTGAATGTTCTCTTTTCTCCCTCTAATGGTGTAAATGGTGCTGGAACAATAAAATTATTTCCTTATTAAACATGTGGAGCTCTACATGATCATGTCTGAGGTGCTTAGTGAGCACAGCAGAACAAAAAAGCCATGTTCTTACTTTCTCCCATTGTACCATGGAAGCAGAACATCTCTCCACAAGGAAGGTACTGAGTGCAAGGAAAAGTGGATGGAGACGAATTCCACCCATCCATCCTTGTGGAAGCACATGCAACTAGAGAAGATGAAGTGAGGAAGCGCATGCAGTACCTGGTCATGTCAGAGTCAGGGAGCAGGCCTAGGTGGTAGTGGGGGTAGGGAGTTGAGAGAAGGAAGCTTTTGTCACACTCAACAGGGGAATAGTGCCTGGGAGAAGCGGGCTTATCACACAGTTTATTCACAGTGCTGTAAACAGGTTCCGGAGGCCTGGTGACACAAGAGGAAGAAAAAGATGCATAGTTAGCACACATGAACACCAATCATGCAGCTAGTAGCGTTTCACTGTATTTAAAAGTAAAAATTCAACTTAATGACATTTTATCATTGTGCCCCAGTACAAATCAAAATTTCTACTGCTTTTACTTATTACATCATATATAATTTATAGATTTATTTATTCATGAATTGACTTTACTCCTAGACTCAGTTGAGAGTAGATATGGCACCATAAAAGTGTTTAGTGCAATATGACCTGCACAGAGGGTTTCTGGAAGAGCTTATGATAGGGAAGTTGTTTTAGCTAGGATCTTTGTCATTGTTTCTTACTGAATACTTCCATCTGCTAATGAGAGACTCAAAGCAATATGATGACTGGTATGTCAGTAACTATCTTGGATCAGGAAGTGACCTAGAGGATAAAAGTAAATTATACAGGGAGTTGAACATATAGAATGAGGCCATAGAGCTGTTAACACTGATGACACTATAGTGATTCTGGCATCCTTCCCTCAAGGATAAAAGACCATTTTCTAGTTTAAGGTAGTGTTAATTCTTGTTATATAAACAGGATATAAAATTAAGGTGTACTTTTATAAAATTTAAGGCTGTAGCTTTAGTATATAGAAATAACTATTCTAGCTTTATCATAAGGACTAATAACATTTTTTTATATTTATAGTCAACTGTGCACTATCCTTATGCAGAAAAATATAAGGAATGCTATTTTCTTACTGTATAATCTGGAGTTTGTAACTATTGAGAGAACTCACTGAATCTCTGTGTTAAATCATTGCTGGTATCTGATCTAAACTGCCAGCTCAGTGTCTTGAGAAAAAGGAACTAATGGATATAAAACATTTCCACAATGACGTAACCTCCACATCCTATTTACTCAGTAGAGCTGATTCAATTTTTAGCCTGATGTTGACTCTACAAACCAAGAAAATAATGTTACCATTTTTTTCTAGTTCAGTTGTGCCACATTTAGAGAAAAACAGAACCAAAGCTGACTAATATGTGTCCTAAATCATCCTAGCTATATCGTATTCAGCTAAATTAAAGACAAATGCTTCATTTTTTTGGAATACTATAATACATTCAAGACTATAAAAAGTGACCCTGTACTTTGCAGAGATAAGTTACTGGTGTTGCAGTTTCATTTAACTCTCCTCTTTAATCTGCCACTTTTTCCTTGTTGGTATGTTATTTTTATTTGGTCTCATGTTAAAGACTAGGCTTCTCTGACTGACGTTTTTTTCTTGGTTGTAAAAACGCGTGATACCTGTGGACATAACCAATGAAAAGAAACAAAGACTAAGACATAGCACACTCGGCTAAGTCCTCTTACAAGCAAACAGCATAGTCAACATGATGGTGAAAAGCATGTTCAGCTTTGAAGCTTTTTAACCAATAGCTTCATTGTAGTCCTAGAATTCTGCCATGTAGTATGTAAAATATAAGTGTCAGTACAACAATAATAAGAGCTACCCAAGCTACATTCTGAAAGCCGATGCTAGGAACTGGATAAATGTTCACTGAAATTTGTTCTTCTTTACTGAGAAAAATACATTCTCCTGGCTCTTTCCAGGAAGCCCTAAGATATTCTGAGTATTTTTAGATCATCATTAAACCTAAAACTTTTTATGTCATCATTAGTTCTTAGTTTATAATGTGTTATCATTGAAGAAATGGAAGAAAAGCTTTAAGCACTGAGCAGGCAGAGTTTATGTACTGAAGAATGAGTCCCTTGTGTTAGTCTCTTGACACAGAGTCCCTCCCCATGTCCAGAATGCTCCTTGAAGACTACCATCCCTGAGTTCCAGAGGGTCTAATACTAGCAGCTAGCATATTAGTCCTTTGTAGTTATGTCTCCTGAGACATCTATGCAGACAGAAAAGAAATGCCAGTAATTGTCCCTTGGATCTAGTGACTGGAATACATGTCACCATCACTCCAGTAAAGAAATGCAGGGGAAATACAATTTTCTGCAGTCTGAGTCAGCCTGTCACAATGGAAAGTTCTGTTTATCTTCTTAATAGCACCCAGAATCAGAACATAATGAATATGGAAATCCAACCAAGGTGTTTACTTGCTCTCTTTATTCTGTGGTTATCCTTTGGACTAAAGGAAGGGATCACTGATGATATTAGTGAAATCACTAAGTGAATTTATAAATAAATCATTTATCCTGCCTTATACTTACCAAAGGCCATAGAAAAATGACTTCTTGGTCTCATCTGCTGAGCCATCAGCATTTATTTGCTCATCTATGGGTTTATAATTGCAGGCTCTTGTAGCATATAATTAACACAGTCCTGGCCTTTGGTGATCTTTGGCTTCTCTGAACTCCATTAGCATTTGCTGTTTGCTTTGCTTCCTTCCCATTTTTAATCACAAATGCATGCACAATTAGGGCACAATGGAGAGGAATGCAGCATCTATACCCTATTTAGAAAAACTACCCTGCCTGCAATGGTGTCTTCCCAAACTTGACAAAACCTCAACTCAGCCCCTGCATAGCCAGTGTGACTTAAACCATTTGACTGGGCACCTCCTTATTGGTATGTTCATGATATGTGTGCTAGGGATCAAAAGAAAGAGAGAAAAACAAAAACAAAGCCCAGGATTATTTAATTGGATTGTTCTATGAGAATAGGATAGTTATGAATTACAGTAAAGTAAAAGAATTTAGCTGGAAGTATAAGGAAAAGATGCAGACACACGTAGTCACAGTAGTGGTGTCTTCTAATGATAGAGAACCTAAACATTGCTGTTCAATGTCTTCAGGTTTACAGTCTGGGATCATTCTAGAATAACAATGTAGGTTCATCCCACAAGACAGCCTAGGAGGAGGATGTAGACTATTCAACTTCCCTGATGATTCCCTTATGACTTTTGTTGTATAATGAAAATCAACTACAAACTTCACACTCTATCCCCTTGACAGAGCTTAGGTCAGATCTCTTGCTTGCAATTAAGAGAAAAATAAAACAGACACTTTCTGTTACTGCAATTGGATTATGCTGCTCAGGAAAATTGCCAAAACCTGATTCCACAAAATCTCACAGAATCTTAGGCCAGTACCAATCAATCCTGCCCTTCAAATTTTTATATTTGGCTCATAATTGGTTCTTTGGCATTATTTTTATTTTTAAATACTGTATGAAAGTGTTATTAGTGGTGAGTATTGTTGGTGTCCCTTTAAATTTTGCACCTGCTGTGAATATCTAGCTCCTAGTCCGAGTTCTCCACAGTAAATGTTGATAAAAATGATGGGCATTTACACAATGAATACTGCTCAGCTATTAAAAACAAGGACATCATGAATTATGCAGGCAAATAGATAGCTAGAAAATATCATCCCGAGTGAGGTAACCTAGACCCAAAAGGATATACCTTACATGGTATGTACTCACTTATAAATGGATATTAGACATAAAGTGTAGGATATCCATGCTAGCTACAATCTACAGATTTGAAAAGCCAAAAAGTAAGGAGGACCCAAGGGAGGATGCTTGAATCTTTCTCAGAAGGGGAGATAAAATAGAAATTGGGGGTGGATGGAGTAAGGAAGCTGGGTGGGAGAGGGGATGGAGAGGGCAACTGGGTGGTGGTGTAGGGAGAGCAGAAGAGAGAGAAATCAGTGATGCGCAGAGGGGCCCATCTTTAGGACATGCCAGAGACCTGGGACTGGTTTTACTTACTGAATCACCAACCAGGAAGTAAGTATGGGCTGGACCTAGGCCCCCTGCTCATATGTAGCAGATGTGCAGTTTGGTTTTCATGTGAGTTCCCCAACAATTGGAGCAAGAGTTGTCCCTGACTCTATTGCCTACATGTGGATCCTGTTCCCCTGACTGAGTGGGCTTCTATGGTCTCAGTGGGAGAGAACACACCTAATTCTGCAGTGACTTGATGTGCCAGGGTAGGATGATACCTGGGGGCCCCCTCTTCTGGAAGGAGAGAGGGAAGGGAGAATGGGGGAAGGAACTGTGTGAGGGGAGGACTAAGAAGAGGGGCTTTGATTAGTATGTAAAGTGGATAAATAAATAAATAAATAAATAAATAAAATAAAAGATGGGCCTGTAAATGTTCTTGATGTATGTAGCACTTGAAAAATCTCAAATCAAAGAGCTAAAACTCATTGTTTTGAAAAACAATAAGATTGACTCACAATTTATTGAGTTTTCCAACTCCCCACCCAAGCTCTCATGCAATCAATCTCCAGCAGGGACTTGGATAATTCTACTGTCCTATTTGGCTCACATGGCTCTTTTTTTCCACTCTGGAAATTAACCCCTAGATGCCAAGGATCAATCTAATTTGTCTGTGTCATCCCCCTTGTTTCATTAGATGAAATGATGTATTGAGATGGCACTACTACAGAAAGTGACACCACAACAATTTGCACTTTCTTCTTAAGCTCAAACTACAAGAGTACAGTAGTATAGTAGAATCAACTGGGGTCTGTTTTACTTTGCCTTTCAGCATGGATGTCTACTTGAGAGCATGGATTTCTATTTAATACACCCAAATGGTTAAATGGCAAAGCATCATGTTCTCTGTCATCCTGTGGTGGCCATCTATGGCTGCCCAGATGGAACTTTCACCAAATTACCTGTATTAAAAAGATACAAAAGCATCAGCATCAGTGATGACATCTGGGGCACTAAGGGCTCCAATGACTAAGTATCTGGCACATCATCTGATAGAGCATGAGGAATATGTTTTTAAGCTCAAAGGGATGCGGTATAATTCTGGTCACAAATAATGCACTGTTTAGTAATCAAGTATTCATAAGAGTAAGAATAAGAGGTCGGGGTATTAACTCAAAGGTAGAGCTTTCAAAACCTCTGAAAGTAGTTAGGGGGTAAAGAGAATGTTGGATTTGTTCATCTATAAATGTAGTGACCTCTCATGATCATGAATAATAATGAGACTGCTTTCTCTTACACTGAATGTTTAGCATTTGAGGAACATTCAGTTTA